TTTGCCTTAAATTGTTATATCAAAATATAGTTCAACAATCTCCCCCTTTTTGATATAACAAAACATTTGAAAATTTGTTTTTGGTAAAACTCCCCCTTAATAAAATATTTAATGAAAAAAATATCAATTGTTGGAAAATATATGAAAATGTTCAGCTCCCCCTTTTTCATTAAGAAATTGAATTTTTTTTTAAAACCATACTTCTCCCCTTTTTTGTTAGATCAAAAAGAATTCAACCTTAAAGTTCTAAAATAACATTAGAGAGTAAGTGATAAACTTGTCATTAAAAACATTTGAAAAATCAATGCTCCCCCTCAAAAAGTGCATTCCAAACAAAAATTGACTTTAAAAACTTGACACTTGAACAAAATTGAATTTTAACAAAGAATAGCAAGCATGTTATTAACACATGAAATTCAATATATTCGAGTCTAAAATACTTTATGTAATACCAATAATTGAAATTAAGTACATATGCATAAAGTTTTTCAAAAATATTATGCATTTGAAAATTTTTGATATCAATTGTTAGAGAGATATCTTTAACATTTAAAACACATGCACAAACATTTAAATTTAGGTCAGAAATTTAAAATTTGTACAAACAAAGCAGTTGAAAAGTTGATATCAATTGTTAGAGAGATATCATTTGCATTGAAAATCATTTTTGACCAAAATTCATTATGATGAACTAAAAATTATAAAAAAATCATTAAAACTTTAAAATGTTCATCATACACCTTTTTAACATACATGAGATGAAAAACATCAAATCATTTAAAAATCAAAACTCATGCATGCTTAAATCAAAAATGAGCAACTAAATAACCAAAATACAAGCATTAAGCTTAGAGGTTACTCATTCATTTTCAAGTGTGGCAAGAGCATCTCGATTTCTTCATTTTCATCACTATTGCTCCCACACACCTACAAGAGACATTTATTTAGATTTTGGTATCCAAATTGCTTTGGATCCTTGGATGTTAGTCTCAATGCCCCTTGTCCCCTTAGGAACCCATACTTGTCTAATTTTAAAATATTTTCTTTTCTTTATGGGACAAGTATGTTCCTTGTGACCATGATAATGACAATGTGAGCATTCTTTCATTACGGAACTAGATGAATTATTTAAAATGATTTCTTTTTCTTTTGTTAAGATTTCAAGCTTAACTTTTAAATCAAAACATTCTTTTTCAAAACTTTCAATTTTTTTTAAAAGCTCTAAATCCTTTTTCAAAATTTCATTTTGGTTTTCAAAATCTATTTTAGCTTTCAAAATAAAATCATTTTTATTTTGGAGTTCATGGTCTCAAACTCCGAAAATAATTCATCGTATGCATCTTGTAACTCATTAAAAGAATATGTATTTAATCCATTTGAGTTAGAAGATACCTCGGCTCTTCACGAGCCTTTAAGGACACCACCTTTGTTGGTTCTTCTTTCTTGTTTCCATGAAGCTTTTCGAGCTTATTCCAAAGCTCATTGGCACTAGAACAAGAAGAAATTCCTTCATTTACTTCGGGACCGAATGCACAAAACAACATGTGCATGGTCTTGGTATTAAGTTGAGTTTTCTTTCGTTCTTAGGCACTCCACTCATTCTTCTTCTTCTTGGGAGAATAGTAGTCGTTCTCGATCATCCCCCATGCATCAAGATCATTGGATTGGATAAATAGATTCATTAACTTCTTTCAATGACGGTAGTTGGCTCAATTAAAGTATGGAGGCTTATTGATCAGTTGAGAGTCTTCCATGTGGAATGAATTGGAGGTAGAAGTCATCTTCTTGGTTATGTCAGGAATTGGTAGAGTTTATTCTATGAACATCTCAAGGTAGTTAAACTTTCTAACAAGTTAGGCTCTGATACCAATTGCTAAGATAATGAAGAGGCTCAATTGACAACAAAAAAAGTGCAAAGAAGGGGTTTTAATAGATAAAATTGAATTTAGGGAGTAAAGAGAATAAAAAGATAAGATAATTTGGCATAAGGATTTAAAGTGGTTCGACTTATCAACCAAGTCTACATCCACTACCTTAGCTCCTCACTAAGGATTTTCTAACAAATTCACTAATTTGTTCTTTCTTTTTCAAGGATAAAGAGATAACATTTACACTCCCTATCTTTTTAATTGGCTAAGATAGAACTAAAAACCTTTTACAAGGAAAATGAATGTAAACAAATAAAACTTCTAAAAAGGAAGGTGTTTACAAATTAAATCTCAAAAGAACAAAATATTTACAAGAGAATTAGAATAAAGAGTGAAAAGCTCTTCTCTTGTGTCTGATTGTTTGGATAGGTGTTCTAACCCTTCTTCAAGTGTCATCAATTTGTATTTATGTGTTGGAATGTTGTTGTGGTCATTTCTAGCCATTGTATGTGGTTTGGAGTCATTAAGGATCAATTTTCATACAAAATAAAGCTGCCAAGACCAAGGGTTATCGGTACTCCTAAAGGGAGTATCGGTACTACCTTTGTTATATTTAAATCAACTAGCCGTTGGGGCCTGATGATATCGATACTATACCTATGGTATCGATACTACTATATAGAGTAGTATCGGTACCCCTTTGGGTATCCGTACCATTTTTTCATTCTGGAATTTGAGCAAAGCTGGTAGTATCGATACTACCTAGTGAGTATCGATACTTCCCTTACCTATGGTATCGATACCATATGAACAATATCGGAACTTGTTCATTAGGTATCGATACTGTAAGAACATTATTGGTACTACTTGTACAGAAAATTGTTTTGTGCTTAATTCCATGCTTTAAGGACTTTGAATTATTTTTTAAAACATTAAAAACTTTGAACAAATTGAATTCAAGTCCAAAAACATTTTTCCTTTAATTGTTATAGCAAAATATAGTTCAACAACAAATTAGTGAATTTGTTAGAAAATTCTAAGTGGGGAGCTTAGGTAGTGGATGTAGACTTGGTTGAGAAGTCGAACCACTATAAATCATTGTGCAAATTGTTTTATCTTTCTACTCCTTACTCGTTAAACTCAAAAAGCCAATTCACCCCCTCTTGACAATTTATTCGATTGTTCATTTGAGCTTCACTAAATCCCAACACTAACTTACCCAAATATATCATTTCTTAATATTAAACATCAAAATAACATAAATTCATTAAACAATTTTAGTGGATAGATGAAGTGTTGTTCTCTCTAGAGGTATATATTGAAATTTTCAAGTGCTTAAACATAGTCTTCGGACATGCATTCATTGATTGAGTAAAGACAAAGACTACACATGTGTGACAATACTATCGTTTGACTCGTGCTAACATGTGTCTTCGACATATAATGTATGCATCTTCTTTTTGGGTAAAATTTATATAATTTTTCTATTAATTTTTTTTTATTTTGGTCCTTGACAACCCAAGTACTATTTAAAATATAAGGTAAAGTATAAAAATAGTTCATGAACTTTTAAAATGCTTGCATTTTGGTCACTCGGCTTTTGAAACTTGCAATACAGTAATCAGACTTTTAGTTCGTTTTCATTTTTGTCCCTTTTGTTACCTCTGTTAATTTTTCGTTGACGTGACAGTTAACCTCCCATCAACTCTCTTCTGTTTTTTCTTCTTACTCTTTTTCTTCTGAAAACCCTAACATCCAAAAAAATCAAAAACCCAAAAATCGTAATCCCATTAAAAAACATAACCTCCACAAAATCAAAAACTAAAAAATCATAACCCCACAAAATGATTCTATTATTTTTGGTTACATAGCTCAAGAAGCTCCTCAAGGAAAGTTTTTAGAGACTTGGGTTGAACAACTAAAAAGTTCTGGCTTTTAGCTTGCTGATTAGAGTGATTAAAATAATAATAAAAACTATTATGTCAAAAAATTATTAATAAAATAAATTATATTAAAATAAGAGCAATTCGAAAGTTGAGTAACTAATTGAAGATTTTTAAATTTTAGTACTAAAATAGGAATGAGAATATAGTTGAGTGATAAATGATGTAATTTACCCATAAGAATGTAGTGTTGTTAAATATTTCTTAACGGCGAGGTATTAAAATAAACAAAAATTAAATGTTAGGTATGACTTTGAAAAAAAATTAAAAGTTTAGGTATTAAATTGAATCAAATTTAATAGTTTAGGTATTAAGCGTACAATTTACTCTAATTCTTTTTAATCATTGACAACGCACATAAGTTATTTGAACACATAACTTCTTGAAAAAAGCAACATTTCTTTTACTCAAAATCCCTTGATGGTTTCAAAAATATTTTAAAAAATTCAAAATAAAACTATTAATTTAATATAATCTATAATCCATAAAAACAACTAAGTAATATTTATTTTATGTTTTAAAAAAAATTGATATCTAAAAAGTAATTTTATCATAATTTTAGTGACATTTTAAACTTCACCTAATATATATTTGTATCTAAACCTCACTGGTATTCAATTAAGAAAAAAGACAGCGGCCATAAACATTGCATCAGCTTCTACCAAATATGTATAAAAGATAGTCAGAGTATCCCAAGATGGATAATTACAAATCCAACTACCATTTCTTATTTTTATGTGAAATAAAAAAACACAACTTAACTAAACTTTGTCTCTGGTGCATAGGAATAATGTCAAAATTAGTTTGACGTTTATTAAATAAATATTTTATTTCCTTTTTTATTTTAATATAAAAAAATTCTTAATATTTGATAAAATAATTATTTTATATTGTAACCTTGAATATTTTATTTTAAATTTTAAAAATTTATATCTTAAAATATTAATTGTATGTTAATTAATGATATTGACTCAAAATAAAATACTAGGAATTAAAATACACTAAAAATAATGAACTAAAATGATCGTTAGAAACTATTTTTGATATTATGGCATGGGTATATTATTACGTAAGATCTGTAGAGATTTTCTCTTCCAGCTCCGACCATGATTTTGACATAACCAAACGAACAAAAAAAAATTACATGAAACCAAAAAATATTCAGAAGATGAAAGATGGTTAAAATGAATCACGTTAAATCCAAATTTCTCTTCTTCCACAAACTCATCTCAGGATTTAGTCTTTCACCTGTTCTCGCCGGTTCTGATTTGCATCTTGTGAGGATTACAGGCCCTGTTTTCATCTCTTTATTCTGTTCCGATTTTTCTGTACTTTTCTCTCCAGAACCCTCGAGAAAATCTGGGTTTTCTTCGGTTCTTGCATCCATTCGGGTCTCCGGATCCGAGTCTCTGCAAATGGATTCTGTTTTCGAACTGGGATTATCTTCTTCTTCGTCTTCAAATCCTCCGTTTTCTAGCTTTGTTTCCTCTGTTTCTTCGTCATTTTTGTGTTGGTTAGCTAATGGCGATCCCCAGAATCTACAAGCTAGAGAAGAAGATCTGTAGGGAGCAGATCGACAACGTGTTAAAATCAATGCATTTTTGGGTGGCGATGAACACGAAGAAGATACGAAAATCTTAGCTTCCTTTTCATCTTCGTTCTTTTCTTCTTCTTCTTGTCGAATGGAATCCTCAATCCCAAATTTCGATGAATCTTCAGTATTTCTTGGATTCCTACACCACCCCATCTGAAAAAAGGTCCCCCATTTCTTCCAAGAGCATCGAAAAGCAAGCTTGACCTTCACTTTCCCGAGTAAATGACGACAAAACAGGGCATTTCTGAACCATTTACAGCGGCGGCCTCGGCTATGGCGACGGGTCGAACCTCCGGGTTTCGCACCGGTTTGTTTGGAGCGTTTAACCCGAACCTGACCCATGCAAGTAACCTTAGGCGAAGAAGGCTCCTGGGTTTCAATGGCGGTGTTTTTTTTTCTAACGAACATTGGGCTCGTACGTGACTTTCCCCTGCTTTTACTCCCAACATTGCTTCTCAAAAATCTCATCAATGGCGGCGGATACTTCTCAGCCCGACCAGGACTCGATATGGGTTTCGACAATACCTTCATTTTCTACAAAAAGAGAACCCCTTTTCTTCGCGAGATGTTGTCTGAATGAAGGTTTTGGAGTGTGGAGAATGAAAAGATTTAGTACTTTGGTTGTTTGTCTTCCTCTAAAAAGCATGTGGCTGGTTTTGCGTGTAAGAATTCTGGGGATGATTCAGCTCAACTGGTAAGAGAACTGAAACACAGTAACATACAGCGGTCACCTCACCTTCCTTGTTTGTTTTTCTCATTTACATTTTTTAAAACAAGAAATCTTTGCACGGATGGGTGAAATCCTTTGAAATATAATGGGGTAACTTACAAATCTAACATCTTAATTATCATTTTTATTCTGATTTAGTCATCAAACTATTATTTTTTTAAAAAGGTCTAGCGTACATTTTAGTTTTATTTTTTTCATTTATTGTTAAAAAATTAAGACAAAAAGACATTAGATGTCTATGTACTTTTAGAAAAAAACTAATGTGACCATTATATTATTTTTTCTTTCAAAGTGATCCTCTAAATCAAAAAATAAATTCAATATGATCATTTGATTAATGTTTTTTGTCGTTAATCGTTATAGTACTGGAGGTCCAGTTTATAGTACTGACATGATAATTTATCTGTCATGTTTAAATTATCAATTTAATTAATTTGTCATATCATCTGTCATGTTAATATGTCACCCTAGATTGTCATGTCAGCATCATAGATTGTCATGTACCGTGAATTGTCAAATCAATATTGTAATGGTCAACGACAGAAAAAATGTCGATTAAACGATCATATTAGGTTTATTTTATGAGTTGGAGGGATATATTGAAAGATAAAATAATACGAATGTCACATTAATTTTTTAAAATACAGAGACATGATATATTTTTATCAAAAATTAATAAATTGACATGACATTTTATAATAATTTAATAATAAAATATATTATCTTATGATGATCTTATAGTTAATTTATGATGGTTTGAAGTAAAATGAAACAAAAATATAATATAAGTATAATTTTTAAAAAAAATTGGATGATTAAATTAAAATAAAATTGATAGTTGAAATATTAAATGTGTAGTTTACCCAATATAATAGTATATATTTTCCTTTTGTAGTGGTGTAGCTTGTAGGGTTGTGTTTAGCTTAGAGTCATTATTTTACTGGACAGAACAACCCGTAAAAAAAGGGTTCATCTGAAAGTGGAGTTAATAAGGACCGGTTATAACCGTTGGATGTTGATTCAGAGCAGTAAAGAGTTAGGGTAACGTTTGGAAGAAAAATGGGTTTTTAAACAGGATAAGGTGAGGGGTGGGGGGGGGTGGAGAGGGGTGTTGTTTGTCCATTCAGTTCAGTCACACAAAGCATTCATGATTGGATGGTGATTGATTGATGAAAAGGTAATTACAATACAAGTTGAAATTTGCAGTAAATTTTTGTTTTTTTTACTTCCATGGGCAAAAAAGAGAAGCTGACAAGGTTAAACACTGTAGATTGTAAATTTGTACAGTAAATTGTTGAATGAATCAGTGATCATCTGATCACTATTAGATCCATAGCTCTAACATGGTAACAGAACACATACTCTTTACTATCAACCATCAACATATACAAGTTTTTTAATTAATTATTGATATATAATTTACCAATTAATTCAGATCGAGTGTTAAAAGAGACAAGATCAATCCTCCTACTTAACCTAATTTGTTTCATCGTAAATATCAAAATTTGAATCTTTAATTTTACTTAAAAAATCTAATATCTCATCCTATTAAATAAATTGATGGTTAATTATACAGATTATTTTAATTAGCCTAAATTATATCTCTTTTGAATATTAATTGTGTAAATATGTTTAACTAAAATAAATATTTAATATTTTAAATTTGTTATTTTAAAGTCAATTCTATCATAAATATTAGTCTCTCCGTTCTATATTTTGTATTTATATTAACTATACATATAATTTTAATTTTAAAAAATATATTTCTTTAAGAGAAATGATAAAACTATTCCTAAAAAATATTGATAGATATGAAATATTTATTTTGATAGTGTAAAGAGTAGAACATTTAAGAATAAAAAGAAACATAAATATTGTTGTTTGTTGACTTTTAAATCATTCCAAAATAAGACATGAATTTCATTTATATAATTTTAAATTTATTTAAAAAATTTAAAATTTTTTTTTAAAAAAAACTAATTCCTTACCATGGTCCTAATTTTTTAAATTCCAAATAAACAAATTCCTAATCTCTAATGTATTCTCTTCATCAATTGTTACCAACTTACCATTATTGCTGAACCCACTCATTGGATCCCACTGTCAGTCATTCTCATTATTGTCATCTAAATCCCAAAATTTAATTTAAAAATCAATGTTTTAGAAATTTGAGAAATACAATTTTATGAATTTTAAGTGTTTTATAAAAATATAAAAGATAAATTTATAAAAAATTTATAAATGTTATATTTTAAAAGAAATACAAATTAAAATCAAATGTCAAACACTAATTAATTGATTAATTTTTTAATAAAATACAACAACAGCAACAACAACAACAAAAAAGACTGACACCAACATCAATTGAAAGAAAATTTAGACATTTAAATTAACAAGAGGTATAAGTCTAACACTTGGTTTTTAGCTAAGCCTAAAGCTAGACAAATATCTAACATTTTTTTGAAGGATTTTTACTGTGAAACTTGATCTTTTTCTATTAATGTATAGAAAAGCAGTCAACTTAGAATGAGTAAAAAACGAGACTTTTAAGTGAATCAATCATACTCTTTTATAGAAAATCATAAAGTTCACCATCTTCCTTTGTAGGCTCTTGGAAATCATGGCCTTCTAATTCTTGTTTTTATCTGCCTCTTCAATGCGCCTGATAATGTGAAATGATTTCATCATTTAAAATAAAAAAATATCAGGTAAAACAAACAAGTAATGTGGTCATCATCTTCAATGGCTCCACCAATCTTATATCTACCTCTCCACCAACACTTGAATGGTCGTGATTGTAATTTCCTTTCCCAACAAGAGAACAAAAAAGTCAACTAGGGTTTCCTCTTATGCACTCAAAGAAAAGTACAACTAAATATAATCGGACACTGTAATATTTAAGGGTCCATTAAGCTTGATTTTCACAATGGTGGTGACCTACGTACACTATGAGAGTCATGCAAATATCAGTTGGGGACTTAAAACTCCATGTGTCTTTTCGTGCCGACCAATGATTTCATCGTCTCAGGTCCTATTTTAGTAGGCCAATCCTGATCCTTCATACATTCTTGATCCCTAGTGCCTTGGTGTCATCATCTGAGAATTATTGCATTGGTTTGAAGGATGAGACAGTATGTTATTCCGGAGACAACAATAAATCAGGCACATGAATGTGATCTCTGTCTTACCCGGAACGGTCGATAGGGAGAAGTTAGTCAGGCATCTAACACAATCCTTTAGTGCTTGGAGTTCGGCTTCCTTCTTGCAGAGTTTGGATTGAGCTGAATTCAATTCGGATTCTAGCTCCTCGATTTGGTTTTCCTGCTGCTCGATTAAAAGATGGCACAATTTCTGATCTAGTTCAGACGGCAATACTCCCTGGTATGAATCGAACCCCTCCGTCGGCTCACGCTGACTTTTGGCTGAAGCTCTGGTCTGCAAAAGCATTTTTTGGTCGGTAGCAAAAATAATGTGACTAAAGGATGATAAACCAGTAAAGAAGGCAAACATTTGTATGCCAAGTAATTAAAAGGAAAGGTACTTGAAAAATTCAACCTCGCTCAATTTTTGCAGTTCAAACTCGAGCTCCACCTCTAGTTGATCCATTTCCATCACCTCTGATTCCGGTTCAGGCTCTTCAGTGAGAACACTACTAGCATATTCAAGGTCATCGATTACCTGGAGACTGCAGTCTTTGATCTCATTGTGGTCTAAGTTCCTGGTACCAAACTTCTCAAGCAGTAACTGCGAATCCTTGCCACTAAACCTCTTTGAACCTGGAGCAACTTCCATTTGCAGAATTTGAAGCTCGTAGATCGCTCGATGATTTTCTTTTACATAGCTTAGTTTTTAACTCCTGGACCACTCTTGCAGTCTCATCCATGATCGAGTTGAGTCTATCGATCTCAGCCCTCCCAGTCGACATCATGTACATCATACCAAAGCCAAGTCCCCAATGAAATACAGAGCTGTCTTAGGAGTTAAATACAAAGTAAATCGAGATGTCGAACTCAGAGCGCTAAACATGTTTAAAGTACAATTGACACTAACGCTATGCAAACTAACAAAGTCAATAGGCATGTTTGAAGCTAATAGTTAGTGAACTAGCACCGGGGCTGGTGATATTCAGTGAACTAGCACCGGGGCTGGTGATATTCCGATGATAGTTTGACCGAAAACGAAGATAAATGTTTTCCGTGAAACGGCGAATATAGCAGTCCAATGTACACATAAAATGTAAGTGGAAATGCATCGGTATATCTTGACAAACAAACATTGAACTTTATACAATCTTTATTAAAACTACAACCGTTCATAACTTTCTATTACATCAATTATAAAGTGAGGAATTTCTTTACCAAAAGAACAATCTTTTAATCACATATTCACAATGAAATTTATGTTACAAATGCAATGAATCTCAAAGAATGCACAAACAAAAATGTCAAATTCTAACTTTTCCGGGCCTAATTGAAGAAACAAAAGAACAAGTCCAGAATTTTCTCAACAGGAGTTTGTGAAAAAAAGATCATAATATGAACAGGATCATACCTTTAGGAGGGAATGACCCACACTGATAAGCCACATTTTTAGCATCTCTCTTCTTCAAGCAAACGTAAACCTTCTTTCTATTCACCTCCACGCCACCACCGCCGCCGCCAGTTGATCTCTTCTCAGTCTTGTTCAAGACAACCTTTTTCTTCAACTTCATATAATTGGTTTTAACCCCAGATTTTCCAGCAGAGTCTGAACTGGAAAATCTAAAGATCTCGCCTTGCTTCTGTTTTTCCTCACAATTGCTCTCAAACCCAGATTCCAAAAACCCCATTTTGGAGTCGAAGATCTTGTTTTTCTTGATCAAGATTGGCGTTCGATGAATCTGGAGAAATGGGGTCATTGGGAAAGGGTTTAAAGAGGTGTTTAGCAAGGAATCCGGTGGATCCTGCAACAGCAG